CGTTGAGCAGCCAGGAGACAGCCAGCTCCACCACTGGCCTCAAAGTCTATATATGAGAAACAAAAGCAGCCTTCATTGAAGAGGACTGCATGGGACCAAGAGGACAGAGAAACTTTCCAAAAAGCTGATTCCTCAGGGCAGTTGGTTTATCATGGAGCAGAACCAGGGACACTAGAAAAGGCTTTAGGGGAGGAGGCAGGAGAGGAAATTGGCTCACACTGGGGGCACGCGACCCATGAAGGGCAAGAGTGAGGCAGGGAAGGCAGGGAGCTGGAGTCTCTGAAGTGAGCAGTGGAGTGAGGCCCGAGGGATGATGCCCATGAACTTGGGAGGGAGGCAGGTGGGCAGCTGGACCACCCAGCCGTCCTCAGCTCAGGTGTGCCTCTGGGCCTTAGGGCAGCTTCCCTGGCCTTCACTCCAAAGGCCTCCTGGCTGTTACAGCCATGCTGGCTCTAAAGGTAGGTAGTAATAAACATAAAGCCATCAAATACCATCCAGGAAGCCATTTAAGCTAACTGTTGATGTCATCCCCGTTCTAATCAGGCCTTAAACATTCAGTGAGACTAACCCATTTCATTGCCCCACCCACAGCCTTGTACAAAACCCCCACACCCGTCCCCTTACACTGGCCTCAGAATCACCTAGAAACCATCATGGTTGCTTCAGAAGTAGATGAAGAACTTCTAGAAAATGAGCAGAAGGAAGACATATGAGTTAGAGAAAAGAAAGACCCCAGGGAGACGGAGGGAGGAGGGCAGTGCCAGCGATGAGAGCCACGGTTCCTTCAGAGGAAGTTGGAGACAAATCCCGTTTCTCTGAAGGGCAAAGCTCCTCCATTCACAAACTAGCTGGTGACCCTCAGAGCTGTTTCTCTGGGACTGGATAAAGAGTAAAATAAAACCTGCCCACGGATGATCTGGCTGTCAGCTGCGTGCCTGGCCAGGACAGAGAGTTTCCAGTCTGGAGAAGTCTCTGAAGTCATGCTGATGGGAGCTCTATGTGGCGTCTGCCTGCTCAGCCCTCCCGTGGGCTGCGCCTGGTGTCACAGTGTGGAGAGGCCACGAGGAAGCCAATTGGTTTTGGTCTCTTTTCCAGGAGATTTCACAACCACCAGGAGCTGAGATGCTTTTTGGCATCTTGTCATCTGAAACATCTAAAAAGGAAAAATGCTTCAGACATTGTAATCCAGGATATGGTCTATTGCTCCAATTATTTTTTAATTGTTTGTTTTATTGTTTAATTGTTTGATGTGTTCTTCTTGCATTTGATTTCAGACATCTTAATGATTGTTTTTTCTAGGCAGTGCACAAAGCCTATCACTTTCTCTAGCCCGTTCACCTCATCAGTAGCTAACAGATTGTCCAGGGATGAAAAAAACATTATTAGCAACAGAGTAAAACCAGCAGTGTGACAGGGACCACCTCTGAGATGGTCACTTACTCTCCAACTAAAGACCTATCAATGAAAGAAAAGAAGACAAAGGTTACCAACAATTTAAGGAGTATTTTTTAAAATAATCAAATATGAATAGAAAACAGGGCATCTCTGCATAGTAAGGAGAAAGATTTAATCGTAAGCCAGTTTTCCTCTATCAAGTTATTTTTTAACAAGGTTTTGTTTTTGTTTTTATTTTTTAACAAGGTTTTTTTTAACCCAAAGAGGAAGACCTGTAATAAACTGCTTTTCATTTGTTTCTCAAAGATGGCTGAAGAATCATGAGCTGGAATTTTTTTTTTTTTTTTTGTAATCCCGGTCTGAGCTCCACCTCGGGGTTATGGGTTTCCCGTCCATCAAGTTCCCCAAAGGACTCTACTTCTCTGTGTCTGTGGCCTCATCCCTTACTTCAACCCTGGACGGAGAAGAAACTGAGCTGGCAAAGTGTCAGATGCAGGTGCAGGTGCTGGACACAGAGCAGTCCCTGGAGGGCAGCAGCTCTGATCAGGACTTCTCTGCCCCACGGGAGTGAGACAACCCCTTCCAAGAGACCCGCACATGCTTTTGACCAAGACAGAAGCCAGAACTTATGAGAGAAATTGCACAGGAGGCAAGAGCTGTACCTGAGTGCCCCCCAGAGGACGCTCCTGAGAACACCGCGGCCACACAAAGCCTCCCCTGCTCAGGACAAGTGTTGAGTCCTTTTGACAGAACCTGTGCCAGTTCTCCCAGACTTGAGTTTTACTTGTGATCCCTGTACTTCAAATTTCTTGTGCTTTTACAATTGAGATTTTTTCTTGCTTTCTGGTCCTATGAAAACAAGCAAATTAAACATCAGGGTGGAGGAGCCCACCCCCTCCTGCAGAGGACAGGCCTTTAGAATGGGGTTCAGTACTGGAGACGTTCCTCCACAGTGGACCCCTCAGGTGACCACTCCACTCACGTTCCTCTA